TCTGATTAAAGTTTATGAGAGTTCTTTGTATATTAAAATTGAGGCTGATTTATTTATTTTTTGCCTAATTGAAATCCTTTGCAGTTGATATTATGAAAGAAGTCAATTTTAATGATTGAAAAGGCCATAACTTATTTGAAACCTTGAATAAGAAATAATTTTATTATTTTATAATTTCAGGGTACTTATCTTGATGTATTTGATTAAAAAATTGTTTCATGATTTGTATTGTGTCGCTAGATGGCTCCAATATTTACGGTTTAAGATCCTAATGAACCATTGAAGATGTTTGTTCAAATCAAACTTTTATTTTTCAGTAATCAAGGAATGTAAAGAATTGAGAACAGTTAATGCATATCTACTTTGCATATATGCTAAGATAATTCTATTAATTTTAATTTATAAAATACTTAGATTAATTTAATTCCTTCAATAATCAACGAAAGACAAAATTTATTAAATCATTAAAATATCTCTACTTGCATCAAAAATTAGTCATAGAATTCATGAAGGAGATCATACTCTCTTATGGGAATTTTTATTTTATTAAAAGACTTGAATGGATAAGAAGTTGGAATAAATGCTAATATCTGGCCATACAAAAATATCTTCTTGAGGTTACTAGAAACTTCACTTGTTGAAAAGAATACAAAGGCAAGGACATTCATTTCACACGATGGAAACTCATTACAGCTTAATAATTTCATAAAATAACAAAAGATTTCAAGAAGCAGATAAATCTCGTAAAAATAATATTCGTTTATGAATATGAAATGCTGAAACGACTTCAAATGAATTTAAAGATGGGGTTCAAGCATCCCTTTAATCAGGTTGTATTCTCCAAAAATCAGAAAAAGGTTTTCTTAGTATTTCGTAGAAAAACTACCTAATGGTAGTAATTGAAGAATGTAGATTTTGGATGAAACTCAGGTTTTAGGGGGAAAACATTTGATCGCAATTAATATTTTTTTAAAGTGATTAAGCCTTCTTTGGTTTGGAATCTCAAACTTTAGTTACTAAAAAACAGACAAACTATAATAGTATGATTTTACTACATTAAATAATTCAAACGCTGATCCATATTTTGTTCAATAAAAAATATTAATACTTAATTGTTTACTATTATAATTTATCATATTGTATAATTGTCTACTGAATATGGATGTTTGGTGATATTATTAAATGAAAAGAGGCAAATTAATTACCAATTAACTAGAGCTATCACCCGATTACATTAATATATAGAAAATATACAATTTTTTAAAGAGATTTACATTAATAAATATTTTGAACTACCTATAATCAAAATTTCGCTTAATTAATTTAAGAATTATATTCATTTCAATTTCTAAATGCGTTAAATTCCAAATTTTAGTCAAACAAAATAGGAAATAATTTTCTGACTTTTTTTAGTATTTTCTTTAAATTAAGAGAGAAAGGATGAAATTGAAATCCTCTATTATCTTATATAGAAAAAGTAGAACTATTATATCTAATTAAGTTTAGTAATTTTCAAATAATAATTTTTGTCTTCTTATTGAATATTCCCACACCATACTCCTGTTGAAGAACAATACAGTCAGTGTAGCCATCAGTTATGCAAAAAAACACTAAGATGAAGAAGTTCAATAATTATAAATATATGGAGAATTGCACTTTATTGAAAACAACACTA